TTGCCAGTTAAAATCCTTGTATTGGAACCTATTATGAACTACTCTGAAAGTCTATTTGAACTTGTAACTTGGTCTTCTTAAGCCTTACTTGTTGGAAAAACCTTCCCCTCCTGCCCATCACATAAAGAATCAATGTGTTCCATGTTATCCATATTGTAGCTTTGTCCTAATCTTTCCTCTAATACTGCTACTAAATGCATGTTTTTAAACAGAGTTGCTGATAAGCTCGGTTTGCTCACTGTTTGTTATCAGTTGCTGTTGTAGCACAGTTCTGACAATGAGAGCAGCATGGTAATTATGTACTTTCCATTAGAGATACAGTCAAGATTTGTCTGTCCTCTGGAGGTTCTTCACCCGTGCAGCAGTGCAAGTGCTTTTCTTACCTGCTGTCATCACTGACCTGCCATCAACCTCTGCTCTGCTGTTTTGTGTGTTTCAAAGAACCAAATCTTCTTCAAGGACTATTTCTGCTGCTGAAGTTCTGTGTTTGAATAGGTGCTTGAAATGAGGGAAAACTCAATCTTCAGATTATATCTGGGATCACACTTGTGTGCTATGACCACTTGAATACTATTTCTTGTAAGGCTTTTTTTCTGGTCTGTGGATTTACTTGATTTTTACACTCTACATGAAAGATTTTTTTTCCTGCCTGAAGCTTTTAACAAATGGAAAACTGGACAGTTTCTTGCTGTGTCAGTAGCAGGTGTGATTTTTTTTTTTTTTTTTGTTTCCTGATGTGTTCTGATTGAGTCTTGCTTTCTCCCTTGTCTAGGCCTTCTCTCTATATGAAGATGAAATCAGTGACTCAAAAGCACAGCTGGCTGCAATCACCTTGATAATTGGGACATTTGAGAGGATGAAGTGCTTCAGTGAGGAGAACCATGAGCCTTTGAGGACACAGTGTGCACTGGCAGCTTCCAAACTCCTGAAGAAGCCAGACCAGTGCCGAGCTGTGAGCACTTGTGCCCATCTGTTCTGGTCGGGCCGAAACACTGACAAGAACGGAGAGGAGGTAAGAACAGAGTGACAGCAGTGGGACACAACCTGCCTCAGTAACACTTCTGCATTCCTTCTGTAGACACTTCTAAAGTAGATACATGGGTGAAGTAGGTTTGGTTGGAATTTATTCTAAAACATGAAACTTCTAAAACTCACTGCAGTGTAAACTGCATAAATAAAAAAAAAAATGGAGAAGACTTATTTAAGGGTGGAAGTGCTAGGCAAACTTTTGAGTGTCAGCTAGTTAAAAGCTAGTTGACTGGGCTCCATTTTTCTTGTTTGCACTAGCTCAGTTTGTATGTGAACTACTTCCAAATTTAAGGTAAAAGTTATTAAAGTAAGGGTAAAAAGTTCCTATGTGTTCTTCAGAACTTGTCACATAAGCTGTTGTCATTTTAAAGAGCAGTGTTTGAAATGTATTTTTCTAAGTATGCATCATGGTACATGTTACAAAATTGAGATAATTGATCTCATTATTGAAGGCTTTCAACAACTGTTCATGTTACTGTGTGATTTAACAAAATCTAATGTTGGGGGCAGTCAGACAGGGTGGGCGCTTGGTGAGCAAGTGACAGCTTGCTCTTTGCAGTTTGTGTTTCTGTGGCAGACCCCCGGGGAATGTTCTGTGCACCAAGGGAAGAGATACTGGAGCTCTCTAAGGTTCTTTTACTTCTTGTAACTTTGGTGTTTTTCCTTCTAGCTTCATGGAGGAAAAAGAGTGATGGAATGCCTAAAGAAGGCTCTGAAGATAGCAAATCAGTGCATGGACCCTTCTCTGCAAGTCCAGCTTTTCATAGAAATTCTGAATAGATATATCTATTTTTATGAAAAGGAAAATGAGGCGGTGAGTGGAAATATATTCTCTGTTGCATCTTTTTTAAAGAGCATTTCTTTAAGCTCTCCATTCACACACCACAAAGTCTCTTCAGTTTGCCTTGTAGCCTCATGAGAGGCACAAGTTCTTCTGATAAGAGAGGAGTCAATTCTTGATGTGCTGGTAAAACTATTGGATTAAACTTCGTTCTTCTCACATTGTGGGGGAAATGTTTGCAGTTTAGTTACAAATTTAAATATTGTGAGACTTGCATACCTGAAATATTTTAGGCTAAAACTTACTGGAACTTAGATGAAAATGTAGTAAGATTCTAGCTTTAGAGGTACCTAACTTCATGTATACATAAGAGAAAGAAAATTCTTTACAGGTGTTCATGGTCACTGCTGACTCTGCCAGGTTGGTGTAAACTTTAATTTCACAGAATAGATATGACACCATATGTGCTCAGCATAAATTGTGTGTGTATATAATCTGAGATAGTTACCTGATCCATTTTCTGTTAGCAGATAAAGAAGAGTTATGCAGTTTGAAAAACCTGCTTGGTCAAGTAGAGATCAGTGTCTCCTCTGATGTCATTGACTGAGAGCAGACATTAAAGAATACCCTGTAGTTCTAAGAGAATTCCTAAAGCAATTTGAGGGATTTGCTGACTTTCCAATAACTGAACTGCCTTCTTAGTATAGGAGTGCTCTAGTATAGGAGATGCTGTATCTGATTGAAATAAAAATAAAGCTTTGAATTTCAAAGCACTTGGCAGATGTAAAAATGCTCTCTGGACACTCTGGTGGCCTGCAATGCATTTTGTGTAGAGCCCAACTTCAGCCTGTAGGCAGCCATGCCTTGTTCTCTAAGAATAACTTTAAATCTGATACTGCCATCCTGACTGACTTCTTTAAGAAACAGTTACCTCACAGTGCATATACAATCTGATTGTGTGTGCCAGATGTGTTTGAAGCTTTTTAAATTTGTATTGAATACACTGGAGAGAAATGCTGTTGAAATAGTTACAGAACTATCAGGCTAATGAAAGTTTTTCACATTTGCTGAGATAGGGGAATTTCCAGAGAACTCTGAAACTGGAAAGGTCCTGTGAGGAACCAGAGAAGGCAGTCCCCAACAGTTTGTCTCCATACAGTCTTATTAGCATTTTGAAGGGTTTTCCAAATACAGATAGCTTAAAAACAAGTCTGTTAAAACTAATGTCTGTGTGCTTGTACACAGGTGGTGTTGATGACTTGTTTTATGTTCTGCAGGTGACAATTCAGGTTTTGAATCAGCTTATACAGAAGATCAGAGAAGATCTCCCAAACCTTGAATCTACTGAAGAAACAGAACAGATTAACAAACACTTTCACAACACACTGGAGCACTTGCGTCTGAGGAGGGAATCACCAGAGTCTGAGGGGCCAATTTATGAAGGTCTTGTTCTTTAGAAAGACACTCACTGTACCTGTTCTCATTTACATACCATATTTTTTTTTTAAGATAGATTCCTAGGTTGTGCCTTTCAGAAATGTCAAGTTAACATTCATGTGTTCAGTCTGGCACTTCAAACATTTGTGTTGAGTACTCTAACAAACTTGGAAGGTTGGACCAGCAACTACAGGTTTCATCAGTTAGCATGGCTGAAATTTTCTTTGAAATCCATGTGACACGGTAGGCTCTTCAGTTCTGATTTCTCTTCTGTCTGTTCACTGTTGCTTCTCTAGCACTAGAGCTCTAAACTGGCAGTGACTGTCAGCTGAAACTGTGTCTGATCCTTACAGAGTATCAGATTTTTGGGATTATTGTATGTCAAATTCTGCTTGTGCTTTTCTTTTAATGCGAGTTAAGACTAAGTGTAATATTTTTCCCTAAAACTAGAATATATTAATGCATGTTTGGAGAGTTTTAAAGTACCATGTTCAAAAACAGAAGTTATATTTTGCATATTAAGGCTCTGTGACATTCAGTGAGGGCCAGTACTGTGCACAGGGCGTATTTATCAAGATAATTTTGTTCCAAATAGTATAAAAAATAGAGAAATTGCAATCTATATAGATATGTATAACCTTCATTACTGTAAATTTAGGGGAAAATGCATTACACAAGTTTATTCAGTATCATGATTTTGCACCAGTGAAACAATAAAGTTGCTATTAACACCTGTTGTTTCATGTCTCTTCAGAGCCCACTGTTGAACCCAAAGCTAATGCTGAACCTTCTGATAAAAGCGAAAGAACTTTTGTTTTGTAGGGACAGAAAAATCAAAGCCCAGTTACCCTGGCTGAGCTGGGTGGCTGCTGGCATTTCTAATGTAGGAGTTTGTGATACAAACCTAGTATTTCCCCACATGGGGCTGAGATGATGTGTGCTCACATTTCAGAATGCTTTTTTAACATACCTGGAGTGAGGAAGAATCCTACAGGATTCTGTGCCAGAGAGTTGAGTGGCAGTTGAATGACAGTGCTGTAGGAAACTGAGCAGTAGAGCACGGCCAGTGGCAGCTGCTGCAGAGCTGGTCCAGTCCATGGGTTAATACTAGTTGCTGGAAGTTTTGACCTGTCTGGTTTGCCTTTACTGAATGTGGTGTTCTAAAGATAACTAATGGAATTGCATTGAGTGACCATTGTTTTCTGAAAATGTGTCCTGGCTTGATTGGATAGTAAATGAGACTTCAGTGGGATTGTTCAGTAATTTAGTGCTCCCTGTTTTCTGAAAAAGGCAAATGCAATCCTAGGAAACAATTGCAGAGTTTACAACAATTAGATCATTAATGTACTGATGAATAAGTCTGGCTTTGAAGGGAGGAATGAATGGGGAGATAATTTAAAGGCTTTAGTTCCCTAGGTTGATAATTGATGCTAATTTTAAAATCTTCATGTTGCTCTGTATCTGTTGGAACTGTTCCTCATAGGAGAACTGTTAAGCTGTTTTGTTATAGCACATCCATAGCAGAATGTGGTGATGTTCATGTGGATATGTTGTTCATAGTGTAGGGATATGCCCTCCTAGTTTACAGTATTTGCTAGCCATGTTTGTTTAGTCCTCAGTGTCAGTCCTTGTAACTTAGGAAGTGTCTTTGAAATACCAGTTTTGCAGTTTCAACTGCAGTCACCCAAATGTTGTAGACTGGTGCTTTTTCACCCTCTCCCACTTGTGAAGGGCTACACAGTTAGGACTCTTCCACAGCTCTTAATTACTTTTATTGGAAGTTTACAAAGTAAATAATTTTACTGCCTGTAAACTTTAAGATCAATTGTATTACCATGCATTTTGACTGTGACAATGGACAATTAGAGCTGTTCAGTAACTATCACTTGTCAAAAAAGGAAAACATCTGTTAGGTTATGTAGTAAATACTGGTGATGGTGGAAAAAACTTCTATCATTAGTGATACTCAGTGTGACACCTTGTGGAACAAATGTACTCCAAACTCAGGATCAGTTGTGTGAGCTGCTCCTGTGGCACAGGCACAATGGCAGAGAGACTCTTGGGCAGTAGCAAGGCTGTAAATTGTAACGTACTTTGAGTCATGCCAGTCATGATGCATAACCTGGGAAATATCTCAACACTTCACCTGATAAATTACTGGAAGGGAAGTTTACCTAAAGCTCTCTCATGGATCTTGTAGACTACTTACTCTGTCCTTAGCCCTGTAAGGAGTAGAATTTCGACCTCAGGAGATTTCTGCCTATGCAGGATCCTGGCCAGGCGCAGGAAGTCACTGCTGAGGGAGAGAACTCCTAGTGAAACTCTTCTAGTGTATAAGTTAACAATTCTTCTACCTTCTATTACAAAGCTCAAAATCCTTTAATACTTCTGTTCCTGGACTTTGTTCTACTAGATGTTCCACTCTCTTCTATTTCCATCATCTTTTCCATTCAAATAAGTGCTCCCCTAACTGCTACAGTTGCTCAGCTTCTCTGGTAACATCACTGTTGTGCTGCCTCCTGTCCCAAGCTTTTCCTGTATTTTTATTGTTGGCCGTGTCTTGTCTGGCTTGCCACTAAGTGGAGGTGGGGAAAGCATCCTAGACTTAACAATTGAGACCCTTGATGTCTTGAAGTGGGTTTGGGGTAAGATATAACAGATCCAGGATTAATGCTTTATGAAATTACAGAAATATTTACAGTAACTAAAAGAGACAGAACCTGAACTCTAATTATTAGCCATGAAAGTTATTTTTTGTTCTCAGCACTTCAAAACCAATGCACCATTATCTGAAAATACACTGGTGGTGTAATTTCTCAAAGAGCTTTGAAAAATGACCTTTCTTTTAATGCTGTGATTTTCCCAGCTACATGGATGACTGTATTTCTACCTACTCATAAATATCTACATTTGTGCCTGCTAACCAGCATTCTATAAATATTTGCAGGTATTGCAATACTTGCTTTTTGGTGTTCCCACCAAATACAATATGTACTAATTTTCAGCCTTCCTACTTTTCACATCAGAATATCAGGATGAATTTTGGCCTTTCTTGGACAGAGGAGTTTTATGAAGGCTTTCCTAAAGCTCATGTGACACAGTGGGTAGAGAACAGGGTTAATGGCTGAGTTCACCCACAGAAGCCAGAATGAGATCTCATAGAGGGAATAGTGCACACAGTGCCCATGGCAGGCTGCCCTGATGATCATCAGGAGTGTGTATGGAGCCCAGCACAACCCAAACACACAGACAATGACTGCTAAAGACTTTGCTACTCTTTTATCCCGAGAAAGTCTAGATTTGTTTGCCATGATGTTGGCAACATCCACTTTGCTGCTGGGGTGGCAAAGACTTTCTGTTGCTTTGAAGAAGCCATTCCTGGGAGGCCTAGTCTTTACATCCACCTGGAGGGGTGGAAGGTCACAACTGACATTCAGATTTGATGGCTGATTGCCAAGCTCAGCTGAGGCCTGAAGCCTTGGAGCTTTCCTTGGGGGAAGAAGGCTGCTTGCTCTCTTCTCATGATTGTCTCTGTTATCTGGCTTTACAAAAAACACAGCGTGTTCCCCTTTTTCCCCCTGGAAATTCATTTCACAGTCTTCTTGACCAGGTGAGAGATTTTCATTTCGGAGCAATGTGCGTTTCCTGATATTAAGGTAAATACTTAAGTTAAAGTACATAACTGTGATGAAAGGTGTAAAGAATTCAACAGTAGAGGCAATCATTAGGAAATACCAGTTGTAGAAGAATTCTGCATGACATTCTCCTTCAGGGAGGATGCTCTTTTGGGCAATGTGCTCCCAACAGAGAATGGCTGGCCCATAGAGGAGAAAAGCAGCAATCCATACAGTCAGCATCTTCAGTACTGCATTTCTGGTCATCCCTTGCTGAGCCCTGTAGCTGACCTGTGGGACAAAAGTCACACACATTATGTGTATCCCAAACAATTCCGTGGCTGCTTTGGAGCATGGCTCTCTCACTTGTGAGGGTGGTGAGAGACTGGTTTTGGGATGAGGTTAGACCAAGCTTAGTGGTATCACAGAAGAGCTGTTTCTGAAATATGCCTTCCAAGAAACCTTATCAAGGTGATTGGATAAGTTCTGAGAGTGTGTATCAGATCTTAAAAGCTCGAAAACCAAGTCCTTCAAAGCAAATAACCACTGCTCTTCCTAGACTTGGTTGTCACCAGTTGCTTCATATTTAATTGCATACCTGTTTCCAGAATGGTTAAAAATGTTTATTGAACCCTTTATTTGGAATTTTTTAATAATTTGAAATACATAAAAGGGTTTGAATTGACAGAACATCATGCCAGTTCTTTTCTTTCTACTTTGTAGAGTCTCTTTCTTTATCTGAAAATAACACAAAAAATTTACTATACAACATCTTTTGTTTGATATACTTAATTTCATTCTTTCATTGAATACTTGTAGACTTCCTGTTTGCAGTTAAGGTGTATAGATGGAGTGTTGTGGTCTGAAAAGTGCTTTACAGAAGAACAACTGATTTCCATTATTTAGAAAATAGAGAAGCTAAGGTGCAGAAATAATGAGTCAGTAAGCCATATCAGCAATGGAATTCATCAGAATCCTAGTCAAGATCATTTTCTCTGTTCTGATTCCCTGGAATGTTTGTCCCTGATGCACTGGACAAATACTCACGTAGTGGCTTGGAATTCACCCTTCATGTTTCTATGGAGCAGCCACACAGCATTTGGAATATGAAGTCCTCAGCCTTAAATTCTGTACAGGGTCCATATTTACTGCCCCCATCTGTGAGCCTTGATCTCCACAGCCAGTGCTGTTCTGGTAGAGGAGCCACAGAGCTGAGGAAACCTGAGTGTGTCTGAATTGGGTCTGATTTTGCAGTCCTTAACAAAGCTATGAATGATTTCAGGAGCAGTCTTGGAGGAAGTTACCATTTTCATTGAGGGAAAACAATTTGGAACTTCAGATATTCCTGTTCATATATTCTCATACTGCCCTAACCTGACAGTCATTTTCTGTACTCTTGCTTGGGGAGGGATTTTTATATGAGGGATTAATTTGAAGTCTTTTAAAGTGGATGATTATTTTCATTTATTATGACCAATATCCATTTCTGTTTCTGAAACCATCTAGTTTATATATTTATATTATGTGCATAGTCATGAGAGATTGGTTTATGAAAGAAAAATTCATGGCTAATTCAGAACCTAGAAAATAAAGGAATTCTGAGTGTTGACTGTTTTAAGAATTAATCTGTTCATTTCTCCCTCTTCAAAAAGAAGTTGGTAAAACTGCTGAATTGATTCTGCAGCTTCTCTTTGTATTGTTTATGATTTAAATGAGCAACAAACCTAAATGAACATTTTAAGAAAATGTGGGTGGAACATAAATAAGAAATGTGTGTAGAAGTGTGAAACCTATTAACAGGTGGAGTGTGTTATCCTGACACCACACAAAATACTTTGAGGCATTGTGGTCTGGGTGAAAATTAAGTGCAAAGTCTAATATTTCTTTTTTAATAAGTGGCGTGCTGCAAACATGACTTGAGCTATTTCTGTGGCCATTACATGGACATGGTATTTGCATCCTGTGCAAGATTTATTAATATAAGTTATATATAATATATATTTATTAATATGTAGTCTGCCACTTTTGACCCATACACAGCTGTGCCCATCAAACCCTGACAATTGCTAGCCTCTGCACGGAGGGCTCTGCCTGGTGCTGCAGCGGGGGCATGGCCCTGTCCTGGGGGAGCAGCTCGGTTCAGCTGCCTAGCACTTTTAAAGCTTATTCAAGATGCAGCTGGGGGGGGAAATAAGTACACCTTGTTCTCTCTGCGCCTGTTTCTAAAGCAGAGTACTTCTTCCACTGTAAAAATTAGAAGGAAATGCATTTTCTGGCAAAGCCGATCACTCCCAGAACTATTTCCAGGACTTGAAGGGAGCTGCCTCGATCTCCCCTGTCAGGTGTGCTGTCCGAGAGAGGCTGAAGGGCGCCGAAAGCCAGGTGCCCTAAGCCGACCCCCCTGCCTGGAAGGGCAAGCCCGGAGCCCCCGCTGGCACCCCCTGCCCCTTACCGCTCTGGTGACACAGAGGAACCTGTCGAAGCTGATCAGGACGATGTTGAAGACGGAGGCGGTGCACACCAGGTAGTCCACCACCAGCCACAGCTTACACAAGCCCCTGCCGAGCCTCCACTCGCCCGTCAGCACGTAGGGGATGTAGAGGGGGATGCAGAAGCCGCCTGCGGACAGAGTTCGGCGGTGACACGGGCAGAGCCAGCCCCCGCCCCGCGGCGCCCCGGTACTCACCCACCAGCAGGTCGGCCACCGCCAGGTTCAGGAAGAAGAAGTTTCCCTGCGTGCGAAGGCTCCGATCCACCACGAACGCCAGAACGACCAGGGCATTGCCCAGCACCGTGACCAGCACCAGCAGCCCC